AGTCCCCAAATCCGCTAAGGTTTTTTGAAATCCACTTTCAACAGCCTATAGTTCATTCCTGGCCCAGCGAAACCTTCAGGTCATACTCAGGGCTTGCAAGAGGTCCTTAGGCCTTGTCCGCTGGCCAAGAGAAGACCTCACCTGTCTGGGAAGCTTTGGTCCAAAGCATCCATCAAGCACCAGCCCTGGGCTGAGAAATCCCCTGCCTTTTAAAGCAGCCGTCCTTGCCCTGGATTCACAGTAATTTCAAAGCAGAAATTTGGGGGATTTTTCTCCTGGGTGTAGTGAAATGTCCCTGCACTTACGAGCAGCTTTATTGACGTTGCTGCTTTTCATTCTCAACCAATGTTTGTCAAAGCGGGTCCCTTGAAGACGGGCGGACTTCAACTCCCCAGAATTCCCCAGCCAGCATAGCTGGCTGGGGAATTCTGGGAGTTAAAGTCCGCCCGTCTTAAAAGTGACCAACTTTGACAAACACTCTTTTAAATCTTCCCTTCTAGGAAATCCCCAAGAATTCCAGCAGAAGGGGAACAATTGCTCTGATGGTCTTTATTTCTTTATTTGCTCCTATAATATCCCTGCAGAAGGATTTTCCCTTCTCCCAGACCCCTCTGCAAACCGAGCAGACAATTTTGAGAGGCGCTGTGCATTTTCTTGCTAGCTAATTCCTCAATGTGTCTTCTGCACCCATCCTCTCTGGAGGAAATCACCCCGAATTTTGCTCCTCTTTGGGGATAAGCTACACAGGTCCCCAGACCCTGGAATATTGGCAATTCTCACCTGGAAGGGAAATGCAGGTGATTTTTTTTTTTTTTACAAGCGATGGAGAACCTAAAAAGAGATTTTTATACAGGTAATCCTCGATTTGCAAGTTTGTTTAGTGACCAAAGTCTCAACAGCATTATGAAAAGTGACTTATGACTGTTTTTTCACACTTACGACCCTTGCAGCGTACCCCAGGGTCACCATGATCAAAATTCGGATGCTTGGCAACTGACTTGTACTGATGACGGTTGCAGCATCCCGGCATCAGGTGATCCTCTTTTGCAACCTTCTGACAAGCAAAGTCGATGGGGGAGCTAGATTCAACTTACTAATTAGTTACTAATTAGTTACTAATTAGTTACTAATAATAATAATAATAGACAAAAATGCCAAATCCAGTCTGAACATCTGACTGACTGTGCGATGATCAATAATAATAGTCCAACTCCCTGCTGAAGCTGGAGACCCTATACGGATAATAATCATTATCATAATCATAATGGCTCAACAGGAGGATAAAAATGCCAAATCCAGGGTGAACATCTGGCTGTGTGATGAATAATAATAGCTCAACAGGAGGATAAAAATGCCAAAGCCACTGAACATCTGGCTGACTGTGCAATGAATAATAATAATAATAATAATAATAATAATAATAGCAGCTCAACAGGAGGATAAAAATGCCAAAGCCACTGAACATCTGGCTGATTGTGCAATGAATAATAATAATAATAATAATAATAATAATAATAATAATAATAGCAGCTCAACAGGAGGATAAAAATGCCAAAGCCACTGAACATCTGGCTGATTGTGCAATGAATAATAATAATAATAATAATAATAAATAATAATAACCGAACAGGAGGATAAAAATGCCAAATCCAGTCCGAACTTCTGGCTGATTGTGCGAATAATAATAATAATAATAATAATAATAACTCAACGGGAGGATAAAAATTCCAAATCCAGTGTGAACTTCTGGCTGTATGATGAATAATAATAGCTCAACAGGAGAATAAAAATGCCAAAGCCACTGAGCATCTGGCTGACTGTGCAATGAATAATAATAATAATAATAATAATAATAATAATAATAGCAGCTCAACAGGAGGACAAAAATGCCAAAGCCACTGCACATTAGGCTGACTGCGCAATGAATAATAATAATAACTTTTTCTATTTTTTGGGTAATCCCAAAGCACGGAATAAACAAGCCTGGTGCATTCAGACACTTCTTTGCTTCCTTCTCCGTCACAAGAACAGACGCAGCAGGCCAGGCCTCTCGTCTCAGCCTTCAAAGATGTCATTTGCCCCCAAAGCGGCTCTGATGAACAGGAGGCCATCCTCGGCCCATCCCGGAGCCAAAGCTGACTTGCACCAAGCAACGAGCGTGTAAGAAGGGAACTGCAGGATTCATCAAATGTCACCTGGGCTTCTCCATCTCTGCTGAAGCCCACCCAACTCAGAGTTTGCTACAAGCAGAGAGAGAGAGAGAGACTTAGACAGGACGCCCAGCTTCTCCTGTAGTAGGTCAGACTGACCGACAGCGTAAGCCAAACAACCGACCGACCGATCAAAACAAAGCCGGAGGGGACCTTCGAGGTCATCTAGTCCAACCCCCTGCTCAGGCAAGAGACCCTACACCAGGGGTAGGCCACCTCGGCTCTTTTATGACTCATGGACTTCAACTCCCAGAATTCCCGAGTCAGCTATGCAGGAATTCTGCAGGAGAGCCTCGATCATTCCAGACAAATGGCTGTCCAATCTCTTCTTAAAAGCCTCCAGTGATGAACAAGGAGAGAAGGAAGGAAGGAAAGAAGGAAGGAAGGAAGGAAGGAAGGCAAGCAGAATAACAGAATAACAGAATAAAAGAGTTGGAAGGGACCTTGGAGGTCATCTAGTCCAACCCCCTGCTCAAACGTTTGTCCAATCTCTTCTTGAAAATCTCCAGAAACGGAGCACCCACAACTTCCGGAGACCAGTCAAAGCAACACAATCCACAGGCCACACTCACCAGACCTCCCTTAACCTTGTTACCCAATTCACCAGTTGTCTACCTTGACACACAGCAGGGGAAAAAAACATCCAGTAACTTAGGTGAGCTGGCTTCACACAGCCACACGACCTCCAAAGAGAAGCCAAGTTTAATATTATCCAAGGTGAGTAAGTTGTGCGAAGATAGCCACACGCCCAAATCCATTTCAGCTTTTTTTGTTTTTGTCTTCCACCCAAAAGGAAAAAAACGTGAACTCCAACGAGGAATTTTTTTAACCTTGGCAACTTCCACCCACCAGGAAAAAAAACAAACAAACGACACAACTCGAATGCGTTTTTTGGGGTGCGTTCACTGCCTGCGCCTTCCTTCCACGTCAATCTTTGACTTGCCACAACGTTGGACAAATATAAAACTGCCGAGCTGTATCCTTGTAAAAAATATATATATATAAACATTTGACAGCGTTTTCTGCATTTCAAAGGACAGGAAATAAAAATAAAAATTTCACCACCAAATCGGTTTGTTCGCAGGATTGAGAAATGTCCAGCCTGACGCAAGCAGGGTGGTGTTTGTGGGGGAAACGGGAGGAAGAAGGGGTGTTTTAGCAGTCTTGCTGCCTCGAGTTATTTATAAACGAAATAATACAGGTTAGATATCAATCTATTCAGGATAATAATAATAAAAAAAAGCACAGCCGGGAACCACATCAGCCCTGGGGTCCCCGCAGGTCAATTGCCAATGATCATGTAAAAGAAGGCAGCCCAGAAACTCGGATTTCTTGGAAAGTCGGTGAAAACCATCCCTGTCAATGCCTGTGTTTGGATGGTGGGTCAGGAGCTCCTGGTCTTGGGTTCAGGAGCAGCAGGGGGTGGGAGACGGGTGGGGGGGGGGCTGGGGAGACAACTCAGAGGTGTAAATACCGTCATTAATTCTCAAAGAGGCCAGGAAATTGCTGTGCCCTGATTCTCAACTGGCACAGAATCTGCCTCCTGGCTTTGTATTAACCCCGATTAATTCTTCATTGTTGGCACTAATTGTCCCCCTCCACCGCTATATCTGGAGGTCTGCAGGGCTCCCATCGTGCCCAGCTGGCAGAGCACGGGGAGAACTCTTCCACAGGTTCCCCTCACCCCCCACCCCCAAATTCTGGGGATTTTTTTTTTTTTTAAAAAAAAAGGTAGCCAGGGAGAAGGGTGTCCCAAGTGTGGCCTTCAGAGAACCGTCCTTGGCTTGAAAGAGAAAGAATGCGGAAACGAAGGGCAAGGGAAGGAGGGAAGGAGAAGGGAAGAAGATGGAAAGAAGGGAAGAAGGAGTGGAGGGAAAGGGGAAAGAGAAAGGAGGGAAGGAGGGAAGAAAGAGCAGAGGGAAAAAGGGAAGGGGGAAAAGAAAAGAAGAGGGGAAGGAGGAAGAGGAAGGAAAAAGGGAAGGAGGAAGGGAAGGAGGAGTGGAGGGCAAAGGGAAGGAGGGAAAAAGAGAAGGAAGGAAAAGAAGGGAAGAGGAAGGGAAGAAGGAGTGGAGGAAAGGGGGAAGGGGAAAGGAGGGAAGAAGGAGCAAAGGGAAAAAGGAAGGGGGGAAGAAAAGAAGATGGGAAGGAGGAAGAGGAAGGAAAAAGGGAAGGAGGAGTGGAGGGCAAAGGGAAGGAAGGAAGAAGAGAGGGAAAAGAAGAGGAAGGGAAGAAGAAGTGGAGGAAAGGGCAAAGGAGGGAAGAAGGAGCAGAGGGAAAAAGGAAGGGGGGGAAAGAAAAGAAGACGGGAAGGAGGAAAAGGGAAGAAGGGAAGAGGAAGGGAAGGAGTGGAGGGAAAAGGGAAGAAGGAAAGAAGGAATAGGAGGGAAAGGAAAGAAGAAGGGAAGAAGGGAAGAGGAAGGGAAGGAGTGGAGGGAAAAGGGAAGAAGGGAAAAAGGAACAGGGGGGAAAGGAAAGAAGAAGGGCAGAAGGAGTGAAGAAGGGAAGAAGGGAAGAAGGAACAGGGGGAAAGGAAAGAGGGCAAAGGAAAGAAGAAGGGAAGAAGGAGTGGAGGGAAGAAGGGAAGAAGAAGAAACGGAAGGGAAAAAGGGAAGGAGGAAAAGGAAGGAAGAAGGGAAGCTTTAAGAGCACCGGCTAAATCAAAACCAACCCTCGCTCCCCCCCCCCATCGGTAACATCTGGGCAGCGGCTCCGTTCGGGCGGGGCCCTGGGAGGGGCCGGCGACCCTTGCCCCCCCCCCAGCCCCGGGAGAAAGGCAAGGCAGCGGCTTACACTCTCGGAGAAAGTCTCCATGTCCGGCGCCCATCCCCGGAGCTCCCGCCTGGCCCGCCGGATCCCGCGCAAGTGCCGGGGAGGGAGGCGAGCGGAGCCGGCGGCGGGAGAGGCTCGCTCTGCCCACTTCCTCAGCCGCCGCCGCCGCCGCCGGCGTGGCTCTTCCCCGCGAGGCAGCCTCCCCGCCCGCCCGTCCCCCCCCCCACCACAATACAGGAAAGAGGGAAGGCAGAGAACGGCAGAGAGAGAGAGAGAGAGAGAGAAGGGAGAGAAAGAAGGAGAGAGACTGAAAGAGAGAAAGAGAAAAGGGAGACGGAGAAAGGAGAGAGAGAAAGAAGGAGAGAGAGGTAGAAAGAAAGTGGGGAGAGAGAAGGAAAGAAGGGAGGGAGGGAGGGAGAGAGAGAGAGAGAGAAAGAAAGAAAGAAAGAAAGAAAGAAAGAAAGAAAGAAAGAAAGAAAGAAAGAAAGAAAGAAAGAAAGAAAGAAAGAAAGAAAGAGGGGTAGAGGAAGGAAGGAAGAAAAAGAAAGAAAGAAAGAAAGGGGTAGAGGAAGGAAGGAAGGAAGGAAGGAAGGAAGGAAGGAAGGAAGGAAGGAAGGAAGGAAGGAAGGAAGGAAGGAAGGAAGGAAGGGGTAGAGGAAGGAAGGAAGAAAAAGAAAGAAGGAAAGAAAGAAAGAAAGAGGGGTAGAGGAAGGAAGGAAGAAAAAGAAAGAAAGAAAGAAAGAAAGAAAGAAAGAAAGAAAGAAAGAAAGAAAGAAAGGGATAGAGGAAGGAAGGAAGGAAGGAAGGAAGGAAGGGGTAGAGGAAGGAAGGAAGAAAAAGAAAGAAAGAAGGAAAGAAAGAAAGAAAGAGGGGTAGAGGAAGGAAGAAAGAAAAAGAAAGAAAGAAAGAAAGAAAGAAAGGGGTAGAGGAAGGAAGGAAGGAAGGGGTAGAGGAAGGAAGGAAGAAAAAGAAAGAAAGAAAGAGAAAGAAAGAAGGAAAGAAAGAAAGAAGGAAAGAAAGAAAGAAAGAAAGAAAGAAAGAAAGAAAGAAAGAAAGGGGTAAAGGAAGGAAGGAAGGAAGAAAGAAGTGAGAAAGAAGGGTAGAGGAAGGAAGGAAGAAAAAAAAAGAAAGAAAGAAAGAAAGAAGGAAAGAAAGAAAGAAAGAAAGGAAGGAAGGAAGAAAGAGGGGTACAGGAAGGAAGGAAGAAAGAAGTGAGAGAGAAAGAAAGAAAAGTGAGAAAGGGGTAGAGGAAGTGAAGGAGGGAGGGAGGAAGGAAGGAAGGAAGGAGAGAAAGCGGGAAGGAAGGAATGGAGGGAGTGAGAAAAGAAGAAAGAAAGAGGAGAGAAAGAAAGAGGAGAAGAAGAGGAGGAGAAGAAGGGGAGAAAGGGAGAAGGAAGGATCCAGTTTTGGTCACCATTTTATAAAAAAGATGTTGAGACTCTAGAAAGAGGACAGAGAAGAGCAACAAAGATGATCAGGGGACTGGAGGCTAAAGCATATAAGGAACGGTTGCTAGAATTGGGTATGTCTAGTTTAATGAAGAGAAGGACGAGGGGGGACAGGATAGCAGCCTTCCAGTATTTGAGGAGCTGTCACAGGGAGAAGGTGGACAAAATGGCAGGACACAGAGAGATCCAACCTGGAACTAAGGAGAAACTCCCTGACAGCAAGGACAATTAATCCATTGAGTAGCTTGCCTCCCACCCCTGGAGCTTTTTAAGAAGAGACTGGACAGCCATTTGATGCAGCGGTGGGATTCAGCCGGTTCGCCCCACTTCGGCAGAACCGGTACCTAATTTTTTGTTGCCCAGGCCCAGAACGGACATCCGGAAGCGGCATCCACACCAGAGAACCGGGTTGTTCCCAGATTTGAATCCCATCCTTGCCAGGAAGAGCTAAGGTCTCCCGCCCTGAGCTGGGGGTTGGACTAGATGATCTCTGAGTTCCAGCCCTCAGATCCTAGGTTCTACGTGAAGCCACCTAGCAACCGAAACTTGCTGAGGTCAGCCAGGTTAGCTTTCCCGGGGGGGGGGGATGTCAAAACAACCCCCGGCAGAAACATCCACGTGGAAAAGGAAAGAAAAAATTTAAAAACCTGCAGCCATTTAAACTCTATCCCGGGGGTCTTCCAACGTGGCCCTTTGATGACTCGTGGACTTCGACTCCCAGAATTCCTCAGCCAGGCACCTGGCTGAGGAATTCTGGGAGTCGAAGTCCACGAGTCATCAAAGGGCCACGTTGGAAGACCCCTGAGGCATAGTTTAAGAGGATGGACTTCAACTCCCAGAATTCCTCAGCCAGCATGCCTAGCTGAGGAATTCTGGGAGTCGAAGTCCACAAGTCATCAAAGGGCCAGGTTTGAAGACCCCTGGAATCCCAGGGCTGGGAGGAACCTTGCAGGTCTTCTAGTCCAATCCCCTACTCAGGTCAGGAGACCTTACACCATCCTGTTAAATGTCTGTGCAACCTCTTGAAAACCTCCAGTGATGGAGCATCCACAAACTCTGGGAAGCACCTGTTCTGTCTATCTCTCTGTCTATCTACCTAATCTGTCTACCATACCTGTATATCATATGTATCTTATCTCTCTATCTTATCCGTCCATCTATCCTATGTAATCTATCTATCACCTTATCTATTTATCATATGTATCCCATCTATCTATCTATCTATCTATCTATCTATCTATCTATCTATCTATCTATCTATCTATCCATCATCTATCTATCTCTATATCTATCATCCATCTATCATCTATTTATCTATCTCTCATCTATCTATCATCCATCTATCATCTATCTATCTATCTATCTATCTATCTATCCATCCATCCAACCATCTCTCTCTCTCTCTCTCGTCTATCTATCTATCTATCTATCTATCTATCTATCTATCTATCCATCATCTATCTATCTATCTATCTATCTATCTATCTATCTCTATATCTATCATCCATCTATCATCTATTTATCTATCTCTCATCTATCTATCATCCATCTATCATCTATCTATCTATCTATCTATCTATCTATCCATCCATCCATCCATCCATCCATCCAACCATCTCTCTCTCTCTCGTCCGTCTATCTATCTATCTATCTATCTATCTATCTATCTATCTATCTATCTATCTATCTATCTATCTATCCATCCATCCATCCATCCATCCATCCATCCATCCATCTATCTATCTCATAGAATCCTAGGGCTGGAAGGGACCTTAGAGGTCATCTAGTCCAACCCGCCCGCTCAAAGCAGGAGTCCTTATTCCATTCCAAACAAACGGTGGTCCAATCAAAGGAAGTCTCAGGTCAGCTTTAAACTGCTTTCCCCCTCAACTAAACAGACAAATTTATGTAGTTTTGTTTCCACTGGAAACTGCTTCTGGACTTTTTGCTTGAAGCTGAAAAAGACATGAAAGTTTCATTTTGGATTTTGATGGAATAATTTTGAATAGAAAGGTTTTAAGAATGATTCTGAGCACTGATGATGTTATCTAGTTGGGTCATAAAATGTCTGCAAGAAAACAATCCAGCTCAGAGAGCAGCAAGGACCCTACAGTTGTCATCCTCCTCCTTCTGGTGATCACATTCATATTTTTTTCTTGCCAATAACAACTAAGTGGTTTGCCACTCCATATTCTGGGGCTATCTACCCACTCTAGAATTTCCTGGTGGTCTCTTTTCTAGGAATTACTAGATCCATCCTGGTTTACATGTTGAAGTTTAAACAAAATCAGCACAATGGCGCCCCCTGCTGTAAGTCAGCCCCAGACACTGAGAACCCATTTTAGAGAAAATTCCAGCTGCTGGATTAGAATAGAATATTATAGAATAGAATAGAATAGAATAGAATAGAATAGAATAGAATAGAATAGAATAGAATAGAATAGAATAGAATAGAATAGAATATAGAATAAAATATGGAATAGAATATGGAATAGAATATGGAATACAGTAGAATTACAAATAGAATAGAATTACAAATAAAATACAATAGGAATAGGATTACAAAAAATAGAATAGAATAGAATAGAATAGAATATAGAATAAAATATGGAATAGAATATGGAATAGAATATGGAATAGACTATGGAATACAGTAGAATTACAAATAGAATAGAATTACAAATAAAATACAATAGGAATAGGATTACAAAAAATAGAATAGAATAGAAGAGAATAGAATAGAATAGAATAGAATAGAATAGAATAGAATTTTGAGATAGAATAGAATTATGGGATAGAATAGAATTATGGGATTAGAATAGAATATAAGAATAGAATACAGAATAGAATATAGAATAGACTAGAATTACAAACAGAATAGAGTTACAAATAGAATAGAATAGGAATAGGATTATAAATGGAATGGAATAGAATAGAATAGAATAGAATAGAATAGAATAGAATAGAATAGAATAGAATAGAATAGAATAACAAATAGAAAAGAATAGAAATCAGAATTCAGAATTAGAATAGAATA